TTCACAGTTGAAATAATATACACAGTTTCACAAACATTACCCAGAAGAACCAGTCTTTGTTCCAGTCCTGGTTGAAGCATAGTGCTCCCAGTCCTTTGGGTTCAAGACCACCTCTATTACATATACAGCATTAAGGAAGAACACGAGTATCAAGACATCAAGACGAGAAACAACATCACCAACTCAATCAATTCTTTGGACAACAAGATCACCCTTCAACAATTATACAACCCATCTTTGAACATAATCCATTATCACCCACCCAAACTGCCAAGCTTACCTTGGTGGTCTTGTTTTCTGATAATATAGAAAGGCAGAGTTTGCAGCTCATTCATCCCTTTCTCCATTCAGCAAAAAGGATCTTACAATCACTTTTTGAGTCTTACAAGGGAGTCCCCAACGTGATAAGGATTACGGTATAATTGAAGAAGGATCAAATTCTAGAAGAACAGCAAGAAGAAGAATCAACACGGATAGTCGACACTCTTGAAGGATTTTGCGAAGAACAAATTTGTCAACCACAACTGTCATCAAGTAAAGAAGAAATATCAAGTTAACCTGAAGATCGAATAGTCAAGTGATAGAACCTATTAACGAACGAAAACTACTAAACCTCTGAAAGAAGAAGAAGAAGATTTGTGACTCTAGTTCTGAAAGACGTATCTTGAAGGAAGCAGCCAGTTATATCCCAGAAGAAGGAAGACCACCGAAGGATTTGGATAACTGGATCCTGTTTGAAGCGAACGTCGGAGCCCACTCGAAGGAAGCAGACGATTATATCCCAGAAGAAGGAAGACCACCGAAGAATCTGGATAATCGTATCCTGCTAGAAGAACACTCCCAGCTACTAGTATTGTTACTGAGAAAACCCCCAACTTGCCCTGGTAAAGAGACCAGAGACCATTGTATTACATCACAAAAACTAGGAAGTCAACAAGAACAACATGAGTTTACCATATACTGTGCCAGACTTGGAAGACGGATTTGCTCCAACAACACCTTTGGGAAATAGACCATTTGCGTCGGGATCGAATTCAAACTGGAATACAGGATTTACGGCACCGCCACCACCAATGAAGAAGGATAAAGGAAAGATGCCAGCCAATCAATACAGAGAACCACAGGCTGAAGAAGAGATGTCAGACTCAGAAGATCCTACACCACAGAGACAAGCCAAGCAAACGGAACCTCCTGTGACTGGATATGGATTACATAATGCAAGAGGATCAGATGGTGAACCAACAGAGAGAAGATATGGACCAAGGATCATCAAGGAACCGGGACTTGTTTACGACGGGACCAATTTCACACGATTTCTAGCGAGATACGAACGAGCGGCTTTGGCGTTTCAGGCATCGGACTACGAAAAGGCGTTACAGATTGGACGATTTGTACATAAGGAGGAATTGAAGTTGGAACTCGAGGCGATGGAAGGTTACAACAGCTTCAACTGGACGGAGTTAAGGAAGGCGATGAAGGAGAGTTGGGGGGAATTGGACAACACTATTCTGTATACTACGGCGGATTTGGTCAAAATTGCGGAAGAATACTCCAGAAAGGGAGGACTGAAGGACTACAAAGAGTACAAGGCCTACTTGGGAAAATTCACCACTATCTTGAAATATCTCGTGGATAATGAACACTTGAACAAGAAGCAGGACGCATCACTTCTTTTCATAAGTGCATTTTCTAAAGAAAGTCAGAAGAACATCAAGAGAACTTTAGTCAGTAACGGACAACTCCCAAAAGGACCAGACGGCAGTAGTAAACCTCCACTGTGGAAACATGTTACAGAAGCGGCGGATACAGAAATTAGGGTTGAAGAGGAAGGATACTTTGCGGTTTCAGGCTTCTCCGAGGCGAATAAGCGAATGCAACGGGAACTGGATCAGAAGAAAGGCGATGGTCAGCGACGAGAACAAATGATATCTGGAGCACCAACTGGAAAGGTGGTTGAGAAACAAGTAGAAGACATAATGCAAGAAATGGCTTCACTCAAGCAACAATTGAAGAGTGTATTACCTGTTTACAACCAACAAAGCAATCCGAAATCAGAATTCTCACGAGGGAATGCCAAACCTTCGACACCAATTTACGAGCCTATGATGTGTTTTTACTGCCACAGAGAAGGTCATACAACTTACAGATGTTCCGAATTGTTTAAGGATGAAGAGCAAGGGCTAGTGAAGAGAAACGGGAAAGATTGGTACCTGCCAGATGGGCAACATATTCCATGGAACCCTTCAAGACCAATCCGAACCGTAGTTGCAACAGCCTCGGCAGACCCAAAGATGCAGGAACACACAAATAATGCGACCAAGACAGAACCAAAGCAAAATTCTGGAATCATGAAGTCATCAGCTCAAACTATAGATTGGGATCCACCAACATTAGGGGCTGAGAATTTTCTAGGAACTCACGCAATAACGAGGTCTGATGCACAGAAGGGAAGACGAAGTGTTCGAATCCAGGAGCCAACAAACGATGAACAGATGGATGTGGATCAAGAGGAAGAAGTGGCCGAGATTTCGCCGAATCCTCCGAAGAAGCCAGTCGAGAAGGTTTGGAGTAAAGATAGAATCTCAGCTATGAAATCCAAGGATGCAAGCCCAGAGGAAATTTTGCTTCAGGAACTAGACAATGTCAAAATTCCGACCACTTTTGCTCAGCTTACGGCTATATCTCCAGCATACACATCCCAAATTATTTCGAAATTACAGAGCAGACTCCCGGAGAAAAGTTCCACAACTTACATAGCAACTGAAGCAGTCAAAATGTCGGCAATGGAGCTCAACAATGAAGATGAAGAAAGAGATCCCTGTTATTACAGTTGTGCTCTAGGCTACGTAACGGCAGAAATCGGCGGGTCAAAAGTAGATTTCATGGTTGATTCCGGATCTATGGTCAATGTGATACCAAGTATAGTAGCTCAGGACTTAGAACTGGAAGTGGTCAAAGTCGATATACCTATGAAAGGAGTAGGAGGAGCAAGATGTGATTTGAACAGGGTAGCCGAAAACTGTCCAGTAACGATAGGAAGGTTCTCGGGACCAGCTCACCTGTTTGTTTCACCTAAAGCGCAAGACTGTATCCTTGGACGACCATTTCTGTTTGATTACGAATGCACGCTAGAATATCAAGAAACCGGTGAAACTTTAAGCTTCCAAGGAACCAAAGGAAGAAAAGTTTCAGTCCCACTTGCAAGAACTGGAAAAGGGAGAGGATGGAATAACATGAAGGATCTTAGTACCAACAGTATCCGGAATGACGCTCATGAAACTCCTGCGGGTAAAATTTTGAATTTTTTTGTGGACATTTTTCTTTTCATCCAGTGTTTTTATGGGGTTACCTCCCTTATGTTGAAGACCTGTAAGGGTAAAATTGAGAAGTTGGGGGAGGTTTCCCCAAAGTTAACTGACAAATTTGTTTCAGAGAAGAAGGCTGTTGTTTGTTCAAAGCTTACATTGGCTTTGGCAGAACCAAAATTCATACGATCAAGCGACGATAAGAAGATGGAAATGTTGCTGTTGAAGTGCCTCGGGATTTCTTTTCAGGAACGCTTGTGCCAAACTTGGAGAGACGGAGGACTTTGGTGTATGACGAAGTATAAATCAGTGGCTAAGAAGATCAGGCCGATTAACGAAGCAATTCCGCAGG